CGGAGGCGGCTCGGGGGCGGGCGTCTGGGGCCTCCTTCTCGTCCGAAAGTTTTCGGAGGCCGAAAGTTTGAGCCAGAACTGCGGAAGGATCCGGCTCTGGCCGTCGCCGCGGTCGGCGACACTTGGCGACGAAAATTTGCATCTCAATAGCAGAGGCGGCAGGGGCGGAGTGGAGGAAGCGAGGTCGCTGGGAGCCGTGTCCAGCGGGGCGCTGGGCCCGGCGAGATGGGGAGGAGCGGCTGAGGCCATGTTTGGGGGCCCCAGCGCACGGGGCGTGGGGCTCTGGGAGAAGTCGCGCGGCGTGCGTCCTTAGCCCAGTGGCTTCACTCCCGGGACCCCGGGGCCACCGCTCAAAGCGTTTGGAGGATCAGGGTAGACACTCCTGGCCGCGACTGCTAGAGCACTTGACCGTGAGGGATAGTGGCGCCGCGGCCTTGGAGAGGGAGCTTGGTGCGCCTCGAGGGAACATCCCAGGGCCAGCGCCCCGCCGGACGGATGGCGCACCCGCTTCCCGACGAAGGACCCGCGACCAGGTGTCCCTTGGTCACCGTCCTCCTCCAGCCCCTAAGGTGGCCCGGAGAAGCGCACGCGGCCTGGGAGCACCCGCTGCTCGCGCCAGCGCAGCCCCTCCCACGTGCTCCTTCCGGCTGATTTATTTCTCCACCGCGATGCCAGGCATGGGCATCCTGTGCCAAGCCGGTTCAGCGCCGGGCCTCCAAAATGCCGGCGCAGCCAAAGTTCAAGGCCTAGCGCCAGGGACAGACAGCGCCCCCTTCCCCATCCCCACAGGGTAGTGAGTGCAAGGGCAGGGGGCCCTGGAGACCCTCCCTGCAGTTACTGAGAGGAGCCTGGGGGGAAGGGCACTGGGGACAGGAGACCCTGGAGGACAGAGGGAGGCATGGATGGAAGGCAGATCTCATGCCTGGCTCCAGCGCGTCTTTCTTGACACACCTGTTGCCTGTAGTGGCACACGCTCTTAGAACAGCCAGCGCCTGCCCTGTCCAGGCCCCGCAGCTGCTGCTGGAAGCCTCCCCCGCCTGTCTCCTCCCAGAAGCTAGCCTCCCTTCTGGGGGCCTGGGGTAACATCTCAGGGTCAGTGCCCGGGAAAGGAGGCGCCTGGAGGCAACCAAGATGTTTATATAACGGCAGCCCAGCTGCCGGGAGGAGCAGATTTTCCATAGAAGGAAGCGCCGGGCTGCACAGTTCCCAGACTCAGGACTCTTGCACACACGTCCCCCTCTATGCCGGCCCCAAAGGCCTCAGGCCTGGCACTTCTAGGGTGTGACTGCCTTTGTTCCTCCATTGGCATCTCTGCCCATGGGCACCAGGCCAAGGGTAACGGCCCCATGCAGCCCTGGCTTCAGAGCAAGTTCTCAGCCCTCTGCCGCCGGGGAGCAGCGTGGGCCGGGAGGAGGGGAGCCCTGCTCTGGAGTCTCCCTCCCACTGGGTCTGCACCTCCTCACTGGGCCACCCTCTTCTGCCAGCAGGGAAGAGGGCAGCCGGCTTGATGGCTGCCAGGCACACTCATTAGCCCGCGCTACAGAGGGGATGGCTGGGTACACAGGCATGAGGGGAATGAGGGCCTCAGTCTCCTAGGCTTCCAGTCCTGTCCCACCTTCTCAGCTCACTGCCTCCCCTTGGGCAGCTGGGGCCAGGAGAGGCCAGTGAGGAGACAGTCCCTCTCCTCCCTCCTGGGAAGGGGGTGGGCCCCGGCCAGTGGGTGTGAAGCTTTTTCATTCACAAATAGGCTGGAGATTTCTGGCCTCCCCAGAGGGCCAGAGGGCTTGGGGGTGGGGTGGAAGGAAGGTTAGGAGTCCTGACCAATCAGGGGCAGGTCTGATGGCCTGGGGCCTGAACACCTGTGGGTCAAGTGGGCAGCCCTGCGGTGGGCACTGGGGGGCCCAAGGAGAAATGAGAGGGCTGGTGTCTGTGGGGCATCTCAGCAGCTCTAGAACCCAGTGGGACAGTGGAGGCTAGAGTCCCTAGAAGCTGCACAGGGAAGCAGCAAGGCCTTCCAATGGGATGCCACTGGGGGCTTCCTGTCCCTGTTCCCCGGGTACGTCCTGGGGCAGACCACCAAATAAGGGACCTGTTCACAAGCTGGCTGAGAACCTGGACCCCGACAGGGTGAGGCTGTTGTGCCTGGTGTGCCCAGGGAAGAGCAAGGAATGTCCCGGGACACCTGCAGGTACTGTACCCAAGACTGCTGCATTGGGGCAGTGCCCCCGCTCTTGCCTCCAGAAATATTGGGGTGCCACTGCCAGCATGGGCCCTGGTGACACTGCCCTCCCCCAGTCCTCTCCAGTGGGGCCACTGCCCATACTTTAAAGAGAGAACACTAAGCTACTTGGAAAGCTGAGATGGAAGGATCGCCTAAGCCCAGGAGGTCAAGACTGCGGTGGCAGTGAGCATGCCACTGCACTCCAGCCTGAGCAACAGAGTGAGACTCCAACTCAAAAATCAATTAATTAATTAATTGATTAAGATAAAGAGAACACACCCCTAAGGAAATCAAAAGGCAAACACAGTTGTTCCAGCTGATCAGCACGTGGACATTTATGGAGGACCTGCAGCATACTCAGCCCCAAGACCCATATGGTACAGGGACCTTGGCTGTGCATTTTGTGACCACCAAGGGGACCTTAAAACAGACCATGGGTGGCTCAGCCTGTAATCCCAGCACCTTGGAAGTCTGGGGCGAGAGGATTTCCTGAGCCTGGTTTTGAGACCAGTCCGGGCAACTTGGTGAGATCTTGTCTCTACAATAAATCATAAAAACTAGCCGGGCTCGGTGGCTCAGCCTGTAATCCTGTGCTTTGGGAGGCTGAGGTGAGTGGATTGCCAGAGCCCGCGGATTCAAGACCCGCCTGGGCAACTTGGCGAGACCTCATCTCTACGGTAAATCAAAAAATTAGCCGGGCGTGGTAGCGCGCGCCTGTAGTTCCGGCTACTTGGAAGCCTGAGGCGGAAGGA